GTATAATATGACTATAATATTAAAATAATGAATATTAGTATAATATTCATCTGTTTCTATAGCAGCAGCAGCAATCAGCAGTATGTATGGGGGTTCAGAGGGGGGGTCTTTTGGTAGTCCTGTCCACACACCCTCATTCATCTGTTTGCAGAGAGGTCAGGACTCGGTGGAACTGTTTTATTTACTGGACCTCTCTGCTGTTCCTATTGATTTATTAATCACTCCAGCAATGAACTAACAGTTACTGACCTTTCATAGTCCCTGGTTACCCCCCCAGCCCCCCCAGCCCAGCCCCAAACCAGCTGAATCGATCATTTAATGGAACATCAAGGCCACACAGATTATATGTCAGCGTTTTGTCATGCTTGCCCCATATCCAGATTGGTCAATACACTGACCTTCGCTAAGAAGTGCGTAAACAACAACAGGCCGGGACGAATTCCATCATAACCTTTTAGGCCTATTTAGACTGTGGGCTAATGGGTGGTGGGGGTGGGGGGGTTACTCAAATATACTCCAGATATCTGTGATGGTCACAATTACAATACAGTCAGATTGAAACAGGAAGTCAGCATTACTTCCTGAGATCATGGCTTCTGAGTGCAGGCCCAGTTTCATACACATCACAGTTGTTAATCAAAGATACTAAAGCATATGCAGTTTGCTTATATACACAGAAAAAGACCAAACAGATGGTAAATACAGACTTATTCCTTATATTTGCTGAATTTCTAATAATTAAAAGGCTTCAGGAGAACTCCACATCACAGCTTGCGTGACATGAACAGTCTAACGTGGTGGTAACCCCAGTTCACTGTACCCTAAAAGAGTAAAGCAGGCCAGCTGCAGCTCGCTGTGCACTACAATAGCTGCTTTGACGTTGTGCAGGATGCAATATTGTCCTGATTACTGCAGGCATGAATGCAACTGGATGAACAAGAAAAAGAGGAAGGCCTGGAAACAAAACAACAATGTGGCTTCAGCGTAGCCCAAGAACACCACGCTGGCCCCATCAGCTGGCCAGTGTCAGAAAGCACCGGCGTTCTCAATGGATGTCAGTCACTGCACCGCTAATAGCAGATGACAAGGAACATAATGCACCAACTAGGAGAAGGAGTAATGGCTCATGAATTCAGCAGCCCTGAAGCAGGGATCTGTCAAAACTCAGCAGTGCATTGTGGGTTAATGTGTTTCATACACCTCCCCTCAGCCTTCAGCCATCGCAGTACGCCGCTCATGCGTGTGCATGCGAGCAAACGCGCCTGTATGTAACGCCATGTCCCACCATGTCGCGGCTGCAGCCCGTCTGTGTATCCAGCCATGCTAAAACCATTTTCTTTTTAATTAATCACGCCAATAATACGAAGCAGCTTTGGTCAGAGTCCAGCTGTGAGGCTTAAGCGCCAATCAATGGTGCAGTTTTGAAAGCCCAGGGAGTGTCAATATTTTACAAAGTGCAAAACATGAAAGTCCTGCAGGCTCGGGGTGCCCCACATACAGTGCCCTGGGGATGCAGGCGGCCCATAAAGCTCCTGACTGCATCTCTGCTTTTGTTCCCGTGCAGAGGAGGGCAGGAGGCTGGCTCTGCGACCCACAGCCATCACGGCAAAGTTCATTTCTCACAAATACACGACAAAAGTCATTTTAATACAGGAATCCAGAATGTGGCATCTGGGATGTTAGATTCAGAAACATCAGCAACATAAATGCAGCCATGACCTTCGATCCATGAGTTTATTAAAGATGTGCACATGTGGAGAAAACATAGTTTCAGCCACATCACAAATATGGGCCCAGGGCAGCAGGACCCCACTCCAGTAACTGTTACTGCAATGATTCTGTATACTTGATCATATGATGAACTAATGCTTACTTTAAAAAGCAAAAGTAACGTGTTCGTGTGTTTATATGTGTAAAATCATATCATACAACTGACTGTCCCAAAAATCTGAACAGAACGAGGCTTTTAGATGCGCTGATGTTACTGTGGGGAGTTCAAGTCCACCTTAAAGGAACGAGGAAGAGCTCTGTTAGTCAGTGTGGATGTTTCTAATGTTAATGATCTGTTATTGTGTACTGTCACGTGTTTGTAGTTATGTGGTGCAGGTGTGTTTGTGTTTTGCTGCCATGATGTCAGGTCTGTTAGAAACGATTTTTACCTGAAGGACCAATGAAAGAATTCTAAAACATGAACTTGGTTCATTTCAAAGGGAAACATGTTCTCAGTGTGTAGCAGACGGTTCAACAGAGGATAAAATGAAGCGACACGATCGTTTTCACAGTTGTTTTTTAAACAGGGTGTTTTTGTTTCGTCTCGGATGTTTTCAGAGTTACAAATAAATGAATAAATAGAAATAATAATGACTAAATGTTGCAACATGCCGATTTTCCTTCACTTAGAAGTTGTCATTTTCCAGCGTGTTTGTTCCATAGCATTACCTCCCATTGCAATTCAGTTCTCATTCCATTTATTTGGTTGCTGTCAGTCCAATTCCCAGAATGCCTGCAATCAGTGATGCTTAGCGCTCCAAGGCTGTGGGCCAGCCTGCGTGGAAAGCTCGGCCATTATCTGAAGCTAATGGGGCAGACACAGGAGGTGGAAATGACACAGTGCAGGGTTCAGATGCTAGCTATCACTTCAGGAAGTAGTCGCAGGCTGATTAAAGAATCCAGTCACTGTTGTCACTGGTGAACTGTGATGACTGACATTCGTCTTATTGGCTTCATTTGCTGAAGCAGCAGCTGGAACGTCGAGCAAAGAGTCGAGAAAAACATTTATTTTATTGATTTACTTTGTACACAAACAAGATGTGCTGTGAGTGTCTCAGAGAGACACACGTACATAGATACACACACACATATATACACACATACCGTACTTTCTGGACTATAAGCCGCTACTTTTTTCCTAGGTTTTGAGCCATGAGGCTTATACAAAGGTGCGGCTAGTCTGTCGATTTTTCTTCCACCACTAGGGGGACTCTAACCAGAATTAGAATAAAAAACAAGATAGATGAAAAATCAATGCAAAGAAGAATACGCTACTTTTTCTTTAGCAGATAGAACACGCACAACAAATTACCAACTGGTAATTATTTTCAAATCCTCGCCCCTTCATCATGGAAACCACACGAAGAAGTTTGTATGATGCAAGTTAGAGAGCCAACTTCACCGGAGGATGACAGTGACACAGAGAGCGAGACTGATGGAGACAGATGTGATGAAGGATCATGGGTTTCAGCGAAGATGATTAAAGTGACTTGTGGTTTCAAATACAGGAAAAATGGAGGTAAATAAATAGCGGTTATTTTCTCTTGGTTCTGTTCCGTTTTAATTAGCAAAGTTGCTGCCGTGTTAAAAGGCATTGTTCGGAAAGAATCTGTTCAGGTACATACGTGTACATTTACAGTACAAGATTGTTCTGTACATGCAGTAAATATCTCATTTTTCATCATAGATATCTGCGGCTTATAGCCGGGTGCGGCTTGTATATCTTTTTTTTTTAAAATTTTTTAAAAATAGAGCAGATGCGGCTTATATACAGGTGCGCTCTATTGTCCAGAAAGTACGGTACATATATTTATACATATAACATCTTTTGCACGAGGTTCATATCAAAGTTAACCCATGAAAGGTCTTTTTACTTCTGTGACTCTTTCTCTGTTCAAATCAGTTTAATACAGATCTGGAGATGACAGGTTTCACTGCTCGTTCTCCAATCCTTCAAAGTTTTACTTTAACAGTGATTCATTTCAAAGCTGAGACATTTTATCTGACAATCACTCCACCGCGCTCTTTGTGAAGACGTGTATACTTCATACAAATGTAAAAACAGTCACATGTTTAAATGGTTAAAATCCACAAAGTCAGTTTGTACTGGTGGATACTGAACTATGTGCAAGTCGATATCAGCAAAACTGAGGAATCAGTGAAGCAGTTTGAGAAATGATGAGAAATCCAGGGCTGTGACTCGTCTTTCCTTTGGAGAAGAGAGTGTAAATGTAAAAAAACAACGAGTCAGCTGTTATTCTGGTGTAGTGACGGGTACCTCAGAGTATGTGGCACCGTGATAAACGACATGTTCATGCTGTCAGGAACAAACATCTGTGGTTGAGTATCACATGGTTCACTTTTTTGGAAACTATAATAAAAACATTTTGACAGTTTTAGGTTAGAGATCCAGCATCAACGATCGTCTCTTTGCATTAAATCAAACTATAATGTCGATATCTCAGGGTTACAGTTGTGACATTTTGTAAAGATGAGCAGAAATGTCAATAACAGTGTTAGCTCAGTGAAAGCTGGAAGCTGCAGGTCCACAGCCATGAATGCACTCACACACAAACACTGCCCTCTGCTGGTTACTTCCGGAGCTGCAGTTTGCAGGATTTGTAGGAATGACAGAGTTTCAGGTTAAACCACAGACGTAATCTTCCAGATTAAAAACATAAAACCTGTCCTTCACCTGAACAGCTGATCCAGCAACCCAAACATGTGTTTTCTATTGTAGGAATAACAATCAGCCAGATCTCATCTGCCAATCATAATCGAGTTTTCATGTGTGTTCATTTAACTTGTTTGTTCTCAGTGCTTTAAGCTACTCTGGTCAGGTTTGAACCACCTGCCTCATATTGCGTTGGTGCCTCTCTGTAGCTGCCTGTCCTGTCGCGGCATAGATCCCTGATCTGTAGTTCAGGGACGCTCGACTGCATTGGGATGTGGAAGCCAAGCCAACACTCAAGCTTGTTGATACAGGGTCAGTACAACAATGCTTCAGTAGTTGGTGAGTGTCAAAATAACAAAATAACCTTTGTCTGTCAGCAGAGGAGAAGCCACAGCATGCAGAATCTGCACAGATGCAACGTGTATGGACAACAGTACAATAATAATAATAATAATAATAATAGATTGCATTTATACAGCGCTTTTCGGGGGCCCTCAAAGTGCTGTACAAATCCACTATTCATTCACTCTCACATTCACCAACGACGAGACTGTCCGAGCCGGGGATCAAACCGGCAACCTTCCGGTTACAAGACGAACTGCCAACTCTTGAGCCACGATCGCCCCAGAGCTCACGTGTCACACCTACAGCAGCTGTGTGCCACTCCTGGCATGTTGTTTATACGCAGGCCAGGAGAGCTCACGAGTCACTGACACAGCAACGCTGTGGGCATCAAGGCACTCGCTGAACCTGCTGTGTAACTTCCTGCTTGCTGTCATTTCATGACTGTGGGGTTCCACTTTCACTCTGCAATTACACACAGCTGATTAGAGATCATTTAGGAGGAAGAAATGTTTGATCATGGATCAAACCTTACAGTATCATCCTCAAATTCAGTGAGAAAGACTCTGGGATGAAATATAAAGGCAGAGGGCGTGGCTAAGATCTGGAATTAAACACCTGAATTCAAAGGCAACGAGGTGACCCAGTACTTTTGTCTGTCTCAGCTCTGTGAGGCTGACTGCAACAGTCAGGTTGATAATCAGACGGCCTGCCTGGCTGGGATGGCAGAGCTTTGCTCAGGAGACGTTAACGTCACTCCGGGCCGTCGCTGGCCTCGGTTTCAAACGCTTGCAAAGAGCTGATGTTGTGTTATGTGTTGTGTAAGCAATTGATTTTACAGACTAAGATAAAATAATATTGGATGAACATGCAATGCAACATATAATGCAACTCCAGCCATGATAGGACTGGGGTGGATTCTGGACAGGTCACAGGTCACCTGCCACAGTTTGGGACTCAGAGGACAGCCTGAGTGCTCAGACAGAAGCTTCAGTGTATTTCCTCATGTGGGGAGATCAGGACGATAACTGCTCCTGTAATTAGCCAGTACCTCACTGCTAGTCTTTGATCACACACCCTCTGAGTCTGTCCTGGACTCAGAGAGCTGTGGTGGACGGTGGAGTTTGCACTCTGATGACACTTCCTCAGGTTCTGGTGTCTCAGATGTTCTCTGAGACTGGCTCTGGTTCTCCAGTGGACCCTGGGGTTGCCTCTGTTGAATCCTGGGGTCTGGTGGGTCCTGCAGCTGGCGACTGGAACCCAGATGCAACTGTCTCTGCAGCTCCTCAGCGCTGTGGGCTAGCATGATGCTCACCTTCCTCTGGTGGGCCAGGGCCTCCTCCTTGTCGTTCAGCTACACCAGAAAAAGTCAAAAAACATTTGTTACAAAGGCCCGCCCACAGAGACACCAACTAGCTTGTTGCACATCACTTTGGTTGGTCACTAGTGGACTTCTTTTGTTGTCAGGTTACAGATGAGCATTTGTATTTATTTTTTCTATAAATTAACATTTCTTGATGAAACCGTTCTATCACAGAGAAATGTTTTTGCAGATGAAGCTGAGCAGCGGTGACTACAGAGGCGATGTCCAGATCAAGCCAAAGGGCCTCGATCTCTTTCTCACGATCTGAAGATCTGACGAGATACTAACCAAGTCCAGCAGCTTGTAGAGAGTCTCTAAATGTTCATCAGGCACTTTCATCTCCAGACCAGAAGGGAGCAATGCCTTCAGCCTCTTACTCACACTTATTAAAGGACTCTTGTTGGCACCTGTAGACAAAACAGAAGAGAAGCATTTGAAACATGTTTGTTTACATCGTTTTCACCGTCGCAGTGCAAACGTTCCCGTGCCAGCTTCCTTTAGCTTTGATGTCCGAACAGACAAATGAAGACAAGTGAGCGTAATGTCCACCGTCCTCTGCAGAATTACTGTCACTTAAAACAAACTGCTTCCATCAGTGAGACTGTGTCTGATTTGTCCACAGTTATTCCACGGAAAAATCCACATTTATTTTGAACGGAGGTCAAATTTGCTTCAATACACAAGTTAGTTTTTGCTTTGCCACGAGCGGCGCATCAGTGGCAGCTTCTGAGCTTTTTAGGGGGTTAAGTGTTTGTCTTTGTACTTCTTTGGTACCTTGTTAAGTGTTTGTGCACTATTTTTATTTTTTCACCTTTGCTGCTATAATAGGGAATTGTCAGATTTAATAAAGTCTGTGTATCTTTAGTTATTGTAGCTGATTCTGTGTGGGTCAGCGGAGAGTTGTTTCTCTGACCTGCTGTGTGAAAACCTAATAAAGGGCAAATTCAAACAATGCTCAACATACTTCCCACAACACTGTCTGGAATTCACATGTAAACACGACTACGGTGTGTTCTCAGAAATGATCATCTCCTA